GCTCTAAAAGGATCACAAGTCATACAAATTAGAAGTTACAAAATCTTGTGGGAACTGTGATTTATGGTTCATGTCATTGCGAAATTGTCCACATCAGCAAAACGCAATTAGTATGCACCCTTTCGCTTTAGCCCCAAACAAAATTATTAATCATGATACCAACAAACCATCACTTCAGATCAGTGAGCAGCTGGTGTAGGGGACATGACCACCATCGAACGCATATGCTGCGAAACTACAGAACAGCCGGGAAAGCAAGACTTCATCCATTTGGATCCAAATTGAATGATGTGAGGGATTCTCCCTCCTGACTGATGATTCAGAGATAACAAGATCTGAATCCTCTGAGGCCCTCCGAAATACTTGAAATACATCAGATCTGATTTCTCTCTGGGAACCACGCTTGAGGTTGTTGATTAGGATCAAATTAATTTTTGTGTACTATTGCCAAGTGGATACACATTAAGAAAACTTTAAAGACATCTGAATTCTAGTCAAATCAAAGAGAATGACTACACTTAACAAGAAAGAGTCTGCTTGAAATATAATTTTGCAAATTGAATGCTAGTACCTCCTGGTGATGCCTAAATGGGTCAATAATACCTGGAAAAAGTTTTTGAATTTACCAGCTAATTGACCACAGATCCAGGGTTTTGAGCCAATCACTTAAGCCATACATGGCACATGGTACAGTCAAATACATTGGTCCACATGGGATTTGTTTTAGAATTGGCTAATTTTTTACTGGCAGCTGTCAGGAGCTACCCAAACAAAGGTAATGTGAAGTAACAGCGCTCTTAGGCAGAGTATTTTGGTGTTTATGCGTCATAAAATGAGAATCGTTCCCTTTTGGTATGATACTGACAATCTCACACAGAATTGGCCATTTTCACAGAACTGCTGCCTGCACTTTTCCCTTGAAGAGCATCATCAAAAACCGGCAGACCCTGAACATGAGAGACAGCAATCCATTAATCACAGATGTTATCGCTGACATTTTCATGAACGCTTTTTCTAAAAGTCCTGAGGATTTAAGCGATGCATTAGGCGTTAGCGGTGGCGTTCTGAAATGCAAATCAACTCAAATCCCAGAGAAGCCAATTAGACGCCGCTTTATAATTCATAGAGTAATGAACTTAAAAATCAAAATCAAAACAAACTGTTAAACAAAGCACACCCACACTGGGCATTACGCACAGATTCGGATAACAGCAAAACATTACTCAGCCATTTGTGCCTGAGAGTCTCTTGGTCCCGAAGAGCATTTCCTCTGTGGCCAAACCCCCTGTTTACACTCTGTTCATCTCCGGACTATTACATTTATATGCCTAGTCATTTAATCAGAAAGATGAGAGATGTTGCGTTATTGCTAATAAAGTTTTATATCCAATTAACGATACAAGCTGCTGCCTGGACCTAAAATGAAATCGGTTAGACAGGAAATAAGGAAGATCAAATCTATCCAATTTGATTTATGATGCACTAATGTCAGATGGACGCCACAGGCACACAAGCAAACTGCATATGACAGCGGCCAAGCTCTGACGTTCATGGGGAAGCTGTCAATAAGCAGTACAGTCTAACAAATGAAAATACGGACATTTGACAGTGGCTGCGGAAGGGAAGGAAATAAGTGGACAGCTGCAGCAGAGATGTGATTCAGTTATACTTTTGTCATGGGTAACTGCCATGGTAACTACCAATCTTCACGCTCGTGTCCTCTATGTGCACTTTGCATCGTTGTCAAATTCAATGCAAAATTCAATGCGATATTTTTTTAGCATGTCAGCATGAAATGGCATTCACAAGCTGTTTTCTTCTTTTCGTTAACAGACATACACTACTGTCAAAGTTTAGGGCAAGTAAGAATTTTTTTTAAGGAAATTAATACTTTAATTCAGCAAGGATGCATTGTGCTGAGCAAAAGAGTTAGTAAAGACATTTATAATGTTATAAAAGTTTTCCATTTCAAATAAAAGGTGTTTTTCTGAAATATTTATATTTTTCAAATAATCCTAAAAAATGTATCAAGGTTTTCATAAAAATATTAACCAGCACAACTGTTTTCAATATTGATAATAATAAGAAATGTTTCTTAGCACCATATTAAAATGATATCTGAAGGATCATGTGACACTGAAGGCTGGAGTATTGATGCTGAAAAGTGCCATCACAGGAATAAATGACATTGTAACATAAATTAGAAAACAGTTGAAATATTTAATCAAATAAACGCAGCCTAGGTGAGCATAGAGAATTCTTTCACACATATTTCATCTTATAATAAAAATCATACCAACCTCAAACTTTTAAACAGTAGTGCATTTTCTTAGAAAACTTAAATACCTTTTTGAAGGTACTCATGTACCTTCAAAACGTCTTCAGATAATTAAAGGAAAAGACTAAGGAAAGAGTTAGGTATACTAAGACTAGTGCACGATGGGCGGTTCAGGCAGGTGACTTTGAAATGGGGCAGGGCATGCAAGTGAACATAAATTAAAGTGTGGCCATGCAGGTGAGGTGTGGCCACACAGTTTTTATTCACATGCCATGATGCTCAGTATTCACATCACTTGGAGGTTCAGGTTACATTGCAGTGAACCAAACACATCCCCAGCCCTGCAGTCCTGAACATATGTCTCCCAAAACACCCTTAAAAGTAAGCCAGTGTGCAAAAACAAGCTCATGCTGTTGACACACACTGATATCATTACAGATTTAAGAGTTTGAATCAGTATGATCATTTGGTCCTTTTTGTAATAAAAATCTTATGCTGTGGTTGCTAGGGTGTTGTAGGTGGTTCCTTACTGAAAAAATACCCCCTCTAAAGCTGGTCGCACACCGGACGAGAAGCGCAGCGCCACGTCGCGTCGTGCCACGTCTTTAAAATTCGAACACATTGCTTTCTATGAGCGTACGCTAGGGCTGGGTATCGTTCAAAATTTGTCGATATCGATACCGATACCTTGACTTCGATAACGGTTCCTGAACGATACTTTTTTCGATACCAATTTTATGAAATCAATTAAAAAAATGTTCTTTATATTTACATTTTTTTTATTTTTTATATTTATATTATCTAAAAAAACCCTTTGGTTTTATTTTTCAGCTTGTTGATGTTTATACAAACTCAAAGACACATCTCCTGAGCCACTGCACAAAGGAACAAAATGTAACCAACACAATAAATCAGTGCAAAATAGTTTTAATAAAGCTGAAATAGTCTTCAGTTTACACATCTGTTAGGCTACATTTACACTAGTTAGTGTTCGTTTTAAAAC